TTCTTGAAGTATATTCTGACAGAATGATTTGATGCGAAGATAACACATGTTTTATCTTCCCTAATTTCTCCATCATAGTAAACAATAGTTGAAATACGCCTCATTTTTTGAGTTTGAAAGTTTGAAAGATTGAGAATCTTATATATGCAAAAAACAATAGATTAAATACGCCTAAATAAATAAATATGAACTTAAAAATAAACTAATGCTAAAACATTTAAAATATTTCACAGTAAATTTAATAACACAATTTAACATTGTTACTGTCTCGGGAAAATGTCTCGAGATTTGATCCCGCCTTCTATTTTATACCCGCACAAAATAAAACAAAATCATTAGTACAAAAAATTTAATCCAATAATTAAATTTAAAATTAATTTTACCTTCTAATAACTATAACAAAATCTACTTAGCTTGATAGAGAAAAATTATAGAAGGAAGAATATGAAATTAATTTTGGTGTGGTTTTATGTTTATTAACCATGCTATTTATAGGGAGGGGTGAGTGATTCGCAAGGTTCGAGTAAAAAAATAATGGAAGTCGCGGATGATGATCTGCGCCTTTTTGCCACACTGTCACAAAGGATGTTAGATCGGTAAAATTTAGGACAATTTATGTCTGACAGGTAATAATTAAATGATTGGGTGATTTTGCTAAAAACACCAACAACTACTGTAATTTTAAAATTAAAATTTTATATATTTTAAATATTAATTTATCTTTTATTTTATATTTCAATTCTATCTTAAAATTTTATAAATTAATCCTTATTTTAGAATATATTATTTATCTCAATAAAGAAAATGTAAATTAAAATATTCAAAATAAAACACTGTTGCAATGATGAAATTTGGAATGATTCTATAAACTATATAAAAAAATTGTAATTTAATCGCTCCACATGAATCGCCCAAAGCCGAAAGTTGTTGAAAGCTTTTCAACATATAATTCGAGAGACTATGAGGTGGAAATTTCCAATTTCATTTTTTTTTGGATGAAATGGGGTGGATCACATTATAAAATGATTTCAATGGGGTGGATCACATTTTTGAAATACGAATAATAAAACGATAGAAATAATAAAACATAAAATCAGTTTGAGATACACTGGAGTTAGGGTAACCATTAAAATGATTTGTTTGTTATAGTCATATTCTTGAAAATATCGAGACGTGTCCATATAATCTAAAATGATATTAAATTGCGCTCGTTATCTAATATTATATGTTTAGGAAGTTATAAAATTGTTTTCACCATTTTATTATTAAAAAATGTCTTTGTAAAAGTAAAAGAATATATCAAAAAGGATAAATTATGACAATCTATTTTTTTATTAAATAATATTATAAATCAGGATATTTATTTATATTTGAATTAAAGCAGAATCGAATAATTTGGTAGGGTAGATATAGTTGATTGAACTATAGCCTTAATGATTTTGCTCTTGACTCAAAAAATAATTTAAGTTCAAGTCGAGTCCCTTGATTCTGTATGGTATATATAAATCACATATTGAAAATATAAAGAGATAGATATGTATTGATTATAAAAAATATTAAAATTAAAATAAAATAATATTATAAAATTTACAATTAAATTTAAATAAAAACTCAACTTGATTTGAAAAAAAAATCATGTCAAGTTTGAGTTATAAAATAAGACTTATCATCTCTAATAATTTGAAATTTTTTCGACTGGATCAAACGCTCACCCGTACTTGTACCGATATGTTTAAAGGGAAATCATTTTTTTTAACCAATTGACCTTTTCGTTGTATTTGTTTTCAATAAAATCCCTTACTATTTCACGTGCAATTATGCTGTAGATCTCAACATATTTTTCATATTTTTGTTAGTGCGTGTTTATTGTATCAGATAATAATCGTTATTACAATTACGAACTACCATAAATTTTATAAAATCCCCTTTAAAAATCTCACTTCACCATCAAAGTTCAACCCCATCAATGGCAATGGAAGCTATAGTAGGCCAGCAAGATTGGTTTGACTACAACAGCAAAGATCTCTTGTTAGGAGGGAATTGGAATTATGACTTTGGCTTGGAAGAAGACTCTTTTCTATATTTTCCTGACAATCAAATGTCAAACACCTACAATTTAGTTCAAGGAGATTGGGTTTCTTCCTCTTCTTCTTCACGAACATCAATGGCTCCACACTTATAATTTAGTTCAAGAAGATTGGGTTTCTTCTCTTCTTCTTCTTCACGAACATCAATGGCTACACCATTTCCCCATTCCAGTGGTCCTTCGGCTTCGGTTCGTCCCCAGAGACGTCGATCGATGACTCGAAACAACAAGGAAGAGATGGAGAATCAAAGAATGAACCACATTGCTATTGAGCGCAATAGAAGAAAGCAAATGAATCAATCTCTCTCTGTTCTTCGATCTCTGATGCCTCATTCTTATGTTCAAAGGGTATTCATTATATTCGCAATCACGATAAGTATTATGCATTCGAGAAAACATATATAAACGCTAACAAAGGGTTCTTCTTATTTTTTTTTTTTTGCGTGTGATCAGGGTGATCAAACATCGATTGTAGGTGGAGCTATCAATTTTGTGAAAGAGCTCGAGCAAAAGCTTCAATGGCTAAGTACTGAAAAGGAGGTAAAACAAAGACCAAATTTTGATTTCTTCAAATTCCCACAGTTCTCAACAAGTTCATCATCGACTCGAGTCAACAATAATTCGATCCCCATGAATGAATCAACGGTCGAGATTCAACCCACCATTGCTGACATTGAAGTTAACGTGACTGAGAAGAATGCAAACTTCAAAATTAGATGGAAGAGGCTACCCCCTCAGCTCTTGAAATTGGTTTCGGGGTTGAATGATATGAGTCTCACTATCCTTCATCTCAATCTCACATCGGATGACCGAACTGTCCTCTATTCTCTCAGTCTCAGGGTAATTTAACTTGTCTCATAATACAAAATAATGTTACAGTTAGTTCGATATGAATCTCATTTGCGGCTGTATTTTGATTCTGATCTGCGAAACATTATTTTGTAAGTTTTAATTTATTTTTATAATGAAAATATTGATGATTTTAATTTAAATTTATTAAAATATTCGTATATTTGTTGTTGTTGACATCTGATACATTGACATTTGACACAATGGATCCTCAAAAAAAAAAAAAAAAAAGATGCTTGGGTTTATGGGAACCTTTGAAACGATAGTCTTTAAAAACTAAAATGTAATCGCCTGAATCAATAGAGGTTTTTGTGCACGGAGACATTATTTCTGGGAAAATTTAAGTCCATTTAAATTTTGGATAACCTGAATCAATGGAGGATTTGAATGACAGCTGAACACCATCTTGGGTTTGAATTTGATTTGCTGCTGCAAAGCCCTTGCTACCGTCTCTTTCTCCTTTGCTGTTTGTAGCAGAATCATTATAAGAACATATATGGCTTATTTTGGTTGCCAAAAATAAAATTACAAAGCTAACAAGCTTTTAATGAAAAAGTTATATACTTCCAATAAATAACCAGATTTTTCTCTGATACACTTACTTTCTTGCCTTTACTGGACGTATTTCTTGCATTCCAAGCGGTTCCCTATGCAGATATCATATAACTATTCACTAGGGCTTTTCCCATAACACAAAACTTGTTTGGTTTTTGAGAGACAGCCGTCTTCTTTCTTCTGTCTCTTTTGTTTAATTACTAAGGTTCCAGCTTTCTTAATTTGTTATTATTACATGTTAGTTTCTGTTATTGAATCATTAAATTTTCGGCAGTTATTGTTTCCGATTCCTTTTGATTGATATACGGAATAAGTTAGAGGTTTGAACCACATAGTATTGTGTGTATCCATTAGATTGGCTGTAATGGTTATTTCTTGCATTGCAAGGCATCGTTTTCATTATTTAAGGGTGTTTGATTTCTGTTATTTCTTTTGTTTTTATTGTTTCTTTTTCTTTCATCTTAGAGATTACGGAAGAAGAAATAATGAGTGTGATTTTAAGTGGCGAAGCGAAAGCGAATTCGGATATTTCGGATTCGATTAGCACCTCAAATCGAGTAAACAAACGCCAAAGGTGTGGTGGCGTCAAAGGCAATTCGTCACAATTCAAAGGCGTTATGAGACAGAAGAACGGACAATGGGGTGCTCAGTTATACTCCAATCATACCAGAATATGGCTTGGAACTTTCAGATCAGAAATAGATGCAGCCATGGCCTATGATAGAGCCGCAGTCAAGTTCCGTACCGGAGACACTCACCGTAACTTTCCCTGGACCGGAATCAAGATCGAGGAACCGATGCTTCTGAGCCATTACAGTGCTGAAGCTGTCCTTAACATGATAAGGGACGGTTCTTACCAATACAAGTTCATGGAATACATCAAGGCTCGCTCTAGAATTAATGCAAAACCAGACGTCGGTATCAACTCAATGGGGAATCAGGGGCTAATTTGCAACCAATTGTCGAACACTTGGAAAAGAATATAATGATATGTGTGACTTAACTGTTTTTTAACTGTTGAAACTACATAGGCACCTAAAAGAGTAACAAAAAAAAAATGTTACACCTATTTTAACGAAAAATTCTTTAGACATTTAAAATTAATTTAGGATAGTTTGAACACTTATTTTTACATGAAGTTATTTTACAATTAAATAAATTATACTATAATTCATAACTTTTAAATATTAAATTAATGACTGAGTAATTAGATCATACCATTCATTTTTAATACTATTTATATTTGACCACTAAGATTCTTGACTACGTTGCTGCCGTTAATCCTAAACAGAGATCCATAATAATAGGGATGGACGTAAAAATTTATGTGAGGAGCGCGAACTTAGAAAGTTATATTAAAAATTATAGGGTGTGAAGTTATAAAATTTTAAGGGTACAAAATTAGGTAATCAATAGAAAACACAAAAAAAAACCCCTAAAATATGAGAGATTTTAAAATTTCTAGAGAGTACGATGAATCCATCCCTGAATTGGGTAAAAAAACATATCACCTAAAAACATAATAACGTATCAGAAAATGTTACGACTTCCAATTTGAACCTCATGCTCAATACAAAATGTCTCCCTTGCTGTATTACAACAAATTCTACAGTTGGAAAATACATTTTCTGAAATTTCAATTCATTGGAAAAAAACAGATACTGTGTTAAAATACTACAAACAGTACTAATGCAGTCAGTTTCTGGACCTATTTGCTGCAGCAAGTTCAATGGTGATGATGAAAGTTGATCTGCCTGCTTCCCTTAAATACTGCACATCACCATTCATGAGTTTCACCAATTTTCGGCCCACGAGTAAACCGATTCCTTCCTCCGATGCATCCCCATCAGTTCCGAACATCTGGCTCAGCAATGCTTCAGGTATTCCACCACCTGCATGTGTTATCCTGTCCAAACATACACATTAAAATCAATGCCTTATGTTTTCCAGACTCGACACGAGTCTAACACGAATATGTTCGATATGCGTCTAACATGGATATGCCCTTTACCTTAGTTTCAAATGTGCAAGATGAACGGATTGTCCTAGTTGATCTTTGGTTAAGGTAGCTGCAACAGTGACTTGGCCTCCATTTGGTGTAAAATTAACTGATATCAACAGGAAATCAGCTAAGACTTGTTGAAGTCTAACACCATCTCCGTACAAGGTCTCATTCATGACTTCTGCCGCTGTATCGTTGAGCATTCGGATACCTTTCTCGGTGCTCTTTGTCATCACTTGACTAATAGAAGCAATCAATACCTCATTCAAGGTGAATTCAATCATTTCAAGATCCATGTAGCTGTTAAACAAAATTCAGAAGACGAAAAAAATAAGATGATTTTTCTATCTAAAATAAAGAGATGAAGCGATATAGGATTTAGTACCCTTCAATGAGGCTATCGAGGTCCGAATCATCTAGTATCTTTCTAAGCTGGCGCTGGCACATGGTACTAGTTTGAAGAAGGCGATTTTGTTCCGGTCCCAACTCTGTGTCTTCCATCATTTTCCAAGAAAATATAATACCAGATAGAGGGTTACGAATCTGAGTTTTCAAATAAGCCAACGCTTTCAATCTTTTCATGGCTGTTTGCTCGGACAATTTCTGAACATGAAGTGCTTGTTGCAGTTCTTGGCTTGGGAGCTGCAAGAAACAGAACACACCGGTGACAGCACCGCCTTCCATGTCCAATTTCTTGTTCACACATAACCAGCATTCGACATACTTCCCGCTGCGAGCGAAGAAACCGAAAGGAACCTTCTCGGGTTCATTACCGGTCACCGCATTGTTAAGTACAACACCGAGGTTGACAAAAGATTCTTGGTTCTTGAGACGACAGCAAGCAGTGTTGGTTCCAAAAACCTCCCCCAACAGCATCTTATCCACCACTTCATCTCGGTTCCAACCGGTTAGCTTTGTCATTGCCGGATTCCACTCCGAACACCATCCGAATTCATCCATGCCGAATATGGGAGGGATCAGTGGGTTTGGATTGTGTACTATTGCCTTGTAATAGCCTTCGATCTTGGTAAATTTGTCCATTACAATCTTCTGAACTGTTACATCTTGAGCCACAAAGCATACCCCCACAACATTTTCATGAAGATCCCTGTTTACACAAGCATTGACAACTAAACTAATGGGACCTGCCCCAGTCCTTGATCCATGAGTTTTGATCTCAAACTGTATGTTCTTTTCTTCTTTGCCTGATCAGAAAGGAGCAACTATTATTAGTATGATAACATTCTTTAGCACTGATGTTAGTGAAATCTTATATATAATGAGTGTCGTATACTGATATGTGTCAATTAAAAGTTAGAGCTTTATAGAGTAGATATACTAAATAAGCTAACCAAGTAGTGGAAAATTACATACCCTGCAGAGCCAAGAACAACATTTTCTGGACTGTTTCAGATGAAGAATCTTCAACAAGAGCGAGTAAATGCTTCCCAATTGCATTATCAACAGAAAGGCCAGCCAACTCTGCGATTTTCATATTCCAACCATTAATCAGGCCATCAACATCAACTGCCAAAATCGGGACTGTTGCTGTTTCGATCAAACGCACTATCTCACTCGTCACTGCTTCCAGCTCTTGCATCCCTTCTAGTTTGAGGTCATTCAGCTTGGAATGTATGGCATTGGCGTTTGTATCCGTGGTCTTGACATCTATGAACGCATTCCTTAGAATAAGCTGCAAAGAATGGATGGCATCCATTTCATAGTCCTTCCAAGCCAGACTCCTTTTCTTGACAACTTCAAGGAAAGCCTTGAATGATGACCTCGGGTGCATCTTTCGGTCGTCGTCTTTCAATCCAGGTTCATGCTTTGCACCACCCCATCGAATTTCGCCCGCCGTATGGGACCGGAACCAGAAAAGTATGTCTTTGGAGGTTATCCTCACTGCAGCCATTCCGCATACTACATCACCAAGAGCCAAAGCCCCTGGAAACCCGGCATCGTACAAGCTATCGGTACTCAGACCTGTGGAATCCATATGATATTTGGAAAGCCATGACGCTATCTCATTCAGTTGGGAATCACTTGGGGTTACCCCTAGTTTCCATATATTTTCCTTGTATAATAAGGCAGCCCCATCACATTTCACCAAATCCATTATATTTGGACTCTGTGATACAATCCCCAGAGGTGCATCCCTCATAAGCATGTCACATAAAAGGGTCTGTGTGCGCAGTATGTTCTTCTCGACGACTAGGCTTTCGAGCTCTAATTCCTTATTGACATGGACGGCGAAAACTTGAGCTAGAAACTCACAGGCATACCTGAGTGGAAATGGAACAAACCTAGGAGTGGTGTTATGGCATACTACTAAACCCCATAATCTCTTTCTCTTTTGTTGCTGCTGCTGCTCCGAACCGGTGTCATTACCTTCTTCATCTCCATCATTGACAATGACAGCCATGACCAAAGAAGCGATGGAATTCATGTTCTCCATGTACTGTAAATGGCAGCTGTGGGGAGCCCTTAGGGTTGAACCACACAAGGTCAGGTCAATAGGAAGCTTATCATCTTGAAATACTTTCACATGTTTGGCTCTACAATCAACGATCATACGGACTTTATTCTTCATAAACAAGAATCGAGCGGCCTGGGGGATATCGGTGGCAGGATAATGCAAGCCCAAATAAGGCTCCAAGCCCGGTTTTGTTACCTCAGATATCACTTCACCATTGTCGTCATCATGGAATTTATATGTCATCACCCTGTCATAACCGGTGAGTTTGAAAACCTCCTGCACCATTGTATCACAAAGCCTTTCCATGCTCCCACTAGGTAGCGACTGCAACTGAGTGATTGCCTTTGCTGCGAGCTTGTATGACTGCAAAGCTCCGGCTGCAGTCATGGGAACTTCAGAGGGCCTGACCGGCTCGAAATCAATTATCAAACCCCCTGTTACCCGATGGATAATGGCATAAAAGGGCTTTCCAGAAGTCTTGCAATGGACTAAGATCGGATTCAAAAGAGAAACCTCCCCGATTCCTAGGGCCTTTAGCAATGCAGATGAACTAGGGGCAGTAAAAATGGTTCTTATGTCAGTTCCAATGCCGAGAACCGGATGGTCCCCAACACTTGGTACTGCATGGCTAACCATGGTCAACATCTCAGGGGCATTCTCACTGTATGCTATGACATTGTAAATGTTCTCATCTAAAGCTAGCAAGCACCCAAAGGGCTGGATAAACTTGCCTTTCTGAATATTATGGAGATAAGCCGTGGTAACGTTGCTGGACCTCGTTTGCTGATCTCCACTTACACGCACCGAATTCGAATAATCGAAGGATACGCCGGACTCCTCGAAATCTGCATGGAGTTTTGCATCTACAGTCGTTTGAGCAATGATGCGAGCACTGTGCCTGGATCTCTCCGTGTTGCTTGATGAATGGTTTTGCCTTGATGAAGACATTCTCACCTGCCACTTAATAGACAAAGAAAATCAATACGAATCATGGACAGTGAAAACAAGTATTGACATGGTTGCAAAGAACATTGTGCAAGAAACTCAATGATTTTTCTTCATTTTTGTAAGGACATTATTAAATTTCAGAGTCATAGGCTTTATCATCGATAACAAAAACATATGATCAATACCCAGAGTTCCAGAGTTGCTATGACTCAATCATATAACTGGCTATTGTACTAAAACAACAGTCTACATAGCTTTTAAGCTGAAATAACATCATTTAACACAGACCTAAATATCGATATTCATTTTTGCAAGACTGCAACTACGATGAACATAAGCTTATTAACTTAACAAAGAGACTAACCTTTTTTTCTTCTTCTGATTGATAAGAGCAGAGGAAAAGAAAACTAAAACTGCTATCTGTGATCAGAGTGATGAAGTGAAGAAGAGCAGGCTTTCAGAAGAGCTGAGAAAGTAAATCCAGAAATCATGGCCAATCACGTTATACGGAAATATATTATTAAGAAAACCAGAAAAAGAAGTGGACAACCTCCTTGAAAAGGTTGCAGGAATTTACCATAACCAGAATAGCAGGGACCACCATGATAACATAAAATAAAGGAAATGGGGTTTCCCAAAACCAAGATCACAGCTAAAAGTTATGCCATCATTGGCTTCCTATATTTGTTTATTCGATCATTATTGAATTGAATCGATTCCTACTGTGGGTGTGGACTTTTGTCATCATTCAATGAACATACCTTCTTTTTATATTGGAAATAATTGTGAAAAAGAATCCACTAGTAGAGTCTAGAGACTTGGAATTATTGTTCATGGATAATGTTAGTTATTCTAGTTGGTAAAATTTGAGTTTGTTTTTGAGCCGTTGCCTTCGGATCTCAAACATCTTGAACGTAATCTTCAAACTCATATATCAATTGTGTAGTAATATACCACAATATTGTTCTAATTTAAGTACTAAATAATATTTGATGAAAGAATCTTGTGATTATTATAAATCATTGAAAGAATATCGATTGATTTGCGTCGCATACTTTATTTTGATGGGCGAGTCTCCCAACAGAAACTTTTTACAAACACAAAAACTCAAACTCGGAATCTACTTAAGAGATATCAAGTTTCTTATCACTAAAACCAACGTAAAACCTATAACTCCTGATTTATATAAATTAATTTAGTTAATATTATATGTTTTAAATTTAGGGTTAAGGTTTTGTATGAGTGAATGGTAAAAAAGGTGGAGGGAGCCCATAACCTGCCATTTGCTTTGCCGTTAGGTACCCATTTCCCATTATGGTAGTCACGTGTACGTGTAACAGATCGATTTTGGCCAATTCCATTCTTAATAATTCTCTGAATTCGTATATTTTGTCCATCTCATAAATATTTTAAGGTTTCTACATTTATTGAAATTTTCATCTTATATAACTTTTAATATAATTATATATTTGTTTTTCAATATTATTAATCTTTGAAAAATGTCTAGTATGATCGAAAGTGATCACTTTAAAATTTAATTAGTAGAAGTCTCATTTTATCTTTAACATGTTAAAATCAACATGAATTTTAATTTATAAGCATAAACGACCTTACAGTAATGATAAGTGTTTTTAAATAATTTTATAAAATAAATAAATATAAAATTCTTTAATAATACTCGTGTTATCTTAAGATCGTTTGTAAAATTGTGTTTCTTATATACATCAAATTTTAATTTATTATTTTTAGAGTAAATTATGCATTTAATATCTAAACTATCAATTTTAGTATCTAAACTTTTAATTTTTTTAAAACCATACCTAAAGTTTCTTTTTTTTGTTTCATTTTAGTACCTTGTTCAAAAGTTAACATTAATTTTGATTTTTTTTTTGAAAGTTTGAGTATTAAGATGGACCCAAATTGATAGATCAGTACTAAACACTTCAAGTTTCTAACGGCGAGGGTACTAAAATAAAAGCATAATGCAACAAAATACCCATAACGTTTGACCATAATGTCAATTTGGCCCATATTTTTTTTGAACATATAACCCCCAACGTTTCATTTTGGGTCAAAAATCCCCCTCATTGGATAAAAAATGTTAATCAACTCACGGTCAACATCTTGAGATAACGTGACAACTCGCATGACACTAGTGCTGATGTGTCAGTGCCACATATAAAAAATGCTAACGTGGCCAAAATGACATGTCATCAAATTTTCAAATTAATTTTATATATTTTTATTTAATATTTTATGTACAATAGGGTGATGACACATGTTATCACCACATTGGTTTAAATTTAAACCAAAAAATATACGACCCCTCATTGGATGAAAACCGTTAGTCAACTCACGGTTAACTTCTTGAGATGACGTGACAGACTCACATGGCAATAATGATGAGTGCCAGTGCCATGTATAAAAAAATGTGATATGGCAACAATGACATGTCATCAATTTTAAAATTAATTTTATATATTTTTATTTAATATTTTATGTGCAATGGGGTGATGACATGCGTCATCACCACATTGGTTGTGAGTCAAAATTGTTTTACATTTTATTATTATTAATTATATTTTACGGGCCGTATTACAAAGACAAAACCAAGCCGAGTTTCAAACGATCCAAATCAAATTACAAGGACCCAATATCATCTCAATGACCTAGGCCTAATGTTACAACTCTACAGGCCAACAAGGGTCAAACCAAGCTGCTAGGGTTTTCATCCTAGCTAGGAGCCGCCCAATGCCAGTCGTTCGATCTGGACTAATCCAATGGTCCAAATTAAAAGTAGAATTTAAGGTTTTGACCCTAGGTTCTCCCCTCACATCATTACCGCCACCACCTACTAACGCCGCCATTTTCAACCTATAGTGACAGGAAATCAACAGTAGAAAAAAGGACAAATCAATCAAAAGAACCCAATAAAAAATAAGAAGAAAATCCCAATCCCGAGGAAAATCTGGAAGCATCAAGTGTTCACCTAGGGAAATCATACCCTACTAGAAGGCTATGTTCCACCACCTTGACACCACCAATATAACATGTGAGACAATTGAAGAGAAATACAGAGAAGAGAGAGAGAAGATACGAGAAAAGGGGAGATTGGAATCGGGAAATTGGAAAAACGAGAGTGAAAATAGAGAATCTAAAATTCGAACAAAACCACAAGTTTAAAACAAGAGAAAAAAGAAAAGAGGTTCTTATCATGTTCAATGCTAGCCGGGAAGTCAAAAGGGTAACCGGATTTGTGAAGATTTCGAGAGGTATAATGCTAGATCTAGTATTTCAGTTGAGTTTTAGGAAAAATGGCTCTTGGTTTCGAGTTAAGGGAGTAGATGAGAACATTTTGAGGGGTTTTGTTTCCCCACAGCAACCGTGAACGGTGGTGGATTGCCACAGACGAATGGTGGCCATCCACTTTGGCGGGAGGAGTTGAGAGAATATGAACTCTCTCTCCTTTTTCTTTATAAAGACAAATGAGAAAATGAGAGAGCTTGAAATCTTGAGCCTTGTTTTAGGTTTTTATATGGAAACCAAAACTATGCCATTTAGGAGATGAGTGGCCAGGTGTTTAGCCATGGTATATCTGCTTAAGTAAGGTCTCTATTTTTGTAATCTTCCATTTCAATCACTAAATATAACTTTTAATTTTCTGATTACAAGCTCTCAATATTTGGGCATTTACATTTTAGTCACTATGTTCTTTACTCCTATGTTTGGGTTAAATATCTTATTTGAGTTGTTAATTTTTTATTTGTTATGTTTTAGTCCTTTGTTTATTATATTTTAGAAAATAAATGATTTTTATCTAGACCCCTTTTGGTTTGATGTATAGTCATTTTGGTCACCATTTGATTTTTTTAATCATTGTGTTTCAGCTCCTTAATTTCATCCCGCTTTCACTTTGATCCCTAAATCAATTTTATTCCTCCTTTCCTGACTAGTTAGTTCCCGTAATTTCTCATTTATATTTAAACCAAGTTTACATTTATTTCCTTAGGTTACTATTATTTTGATTTAATTATGCTTTAATAGGTTTGCTTAATTTCTGTAACTTATATGTATGTATATTACTAAATATCATGCTATTTCAAAAATATTTTTTCCTGTTTTTAACTTATTATATATATATATATAACACGTTTCATACCCTTGATATAATATATTACATAGGTGTATATACTTTACTATTTCCATAACCTATATTTATTATATATATATATATATATATATATATATATATATATATATATATATATATATATATAATTGATAAAATATCCATTTGCCAATATTTTTTATGTCTATGTATCGAATATTTTCAAGAACATGGTCATGCAATGGGCGTGAAAAGCACCATTTGATAGAAGTAGTGTGATTTGACGACATTCGAACGAAAAGCGAACTTGAAATAAATAGATTCTATTTTTGTGTAATTTTGTAATTTGCAAATTCCACTACGACAACGTATAAGTGATTAGGTACAATTTTTTGGCATTGTGGGGTGCTTATAAGAAAGAAACTCACTTAAAGATCATGCATCAAAATTGACTGATAGAACAACCTCGAAGATTCGAAAGGTGATTCCTTGATCTGAGAAGGTAAAGCAGTGGTAGAGATTTCGCCTACACCTTTCCACTTTTAATCATCAAATTGTGACGCACGAACAACAGGAGCATCAAGCGAGATTGGTCATACACGTTTGAGGGGCATAGTTTTTGAGCTCCAAGATGAAACCTTGACCCACTGCAGACCCAACGACCAAGCAGAAGCATGTCTGTAAAATAGATTATCTTGTAATGTGAAGACTTTTATATCTGATGAAAATTATTCTACGATATGCATCGTTGGAATCAACATTTTTTGCATCACATTTGCATCTTTGCATTTCCACTACATTACATTTATTTAAACATTTTTGCATGCATCATTCATGAAAACATGTAATTAATTCGTGGAGGATTCGATGACAGTGGTCCTAATTACGTGACACAACATTGAGAATGGAATCCAGATTCGAACAATTGAAGGAAGAATTGTAAGAAAATTTACAAAAGATAAATGAGATTGGGAGCTAAATTAGAGCTAGCACAACAGGCACATGGATTGCATCTTACAAAACCATGCCAGCATGATTAACTAGATTGTAGCAATATTCAGGAAAAAGGCAAAGAGCATGATTTTTCATATGTGGAAACCTTTGAACGTGTGATGGTACATGGTTCACAACTAACTATTTCACCTTATAAGCTTCCCAAAAGTCAGAAAGGTGAGAATAAGATACCGATAATTTAAAAGACTGGTGCAAAGATTACCTCAAAGAATGAACGGACAAAGCTCTCGAGATGAAATGGATGCAAGTAGTTAGCCTTGGTTCCCGACTTGGTACTCCCACCTAAATTCAAAATGTCCGATTTTGAAAAATACAATGGAACTAGTTGCCCATCTCATGATGTTTATTCGAAGGATGATAATATACCAACAAGGATTAAATTCTAATCCATTGTTTTCAAGATAATTTGATCGGAACCGTTTCTAAGTGATACAAGCAGCTAAGACGAGCTTAAATTTGCTCGTGGAATGATATGGCCATGCATTTTCAGATCAATACAAGTACATGACAGATATGCCCCCTGATCGAACAACATTGCAAGGTATGGAAATAAATAAGAACGAGAGTTTCCAACAATATGCACATCGATGGAGGGGTGTTGCATCCCAAGTGCATCCACCAATGACTGAAAGAGAATTTATCACTATGTTCATCGATACGCTAAAACCTCCCCATATCAACCATATGCTAGGGGTGCAAAAAAGAAATTCTCTGACGTCGTCATGTGTCGAAAAATGATTGAAAGGGCGATCAAGAATGGTAAACTGAGGAATGCAAGCATCACTGACACCGAGGAAGAAGTTGAAATCAGTATGGTAGGAGTCTATTCAACTGGTTGTAAGGCTTAGCCTTATAGGATGATCCGAGAAAAGAGTCAATTTGATCCAATTCAATGACCTATGAGGAATTATTCCATAATTGATTGAGAAGAATCTTTTGACTCCATATTAGTCTAAGCCAAAAGAGTACCCATATCCTGAGGGCTACGTTGTTAATGCCATATGCTGCTATCACATAGGAAGTTTAGGACATCCTACTGAGAATTGTAGAGCACTGAAGTGCAAGATCTAAAATTTGAATGATTCGGGGTATGGACATTCGAAGAATGATGAGGCATTCTGATGCGAATTAAGAAGAGGTTTTTCATCCTCGTGAAGCTTTTTTGCACTTGCATTAAGAGCATTGTTTTGTTTGAACTCGTTTTTGTTATTCTTTTAATAATTGCTTGAATATTTTGTAATTCATTTGGTGATTGAACTTATGCTGCCTTCTAAGGTTGTGAACAATGAACAAGTTTTAATCTTGTAGTTCTTTAAATACCGATTGAATTATAGATTCTTTTAATTCTTCAAGAATTGTAGATTTCTGACATGTGGCAAATTAGATCTTTTTATCCCTTCCAATTTCAAAAAATAAGATCACTTGATTCTTTACCCGTAATAATTCATAGTCACTACCAAGGGACCAAATTTTGACATTACATTTCTTTGAGACTTTGAAATACTGCCTTTATATTTTTGGAGACACAAAAAGTCATAACCTTACTTTTCGTTAAGACAATAAAATCATACACCCTCATCTTCTGAGACACAAAACTGACATTTTTCTATCAATAAAACCTAAAAGCAATGAGTACAAGATGTTTACTTGCACGAGAATGGTTCTGTATGGGAAACAAGATGGAGCATCTCGAATCAAGTTTCTGAAGATAAGCACAATAAATTAGTGCATGCTTGAAGCAAGGAGAAGAAAAAATAGATTGTTTGAAATAATTTTATCATGCATTAATTACATTGTTTTCATGTGAATATATATTAAACTTTAAAATCTATCACTCTGGGATACCTCTTCTGCAAAGACTTTCATGTATGAAATGATGAACGACCTTCTTTCACTATCCTTTTAAAAAAGAAGAAAATATATATCCCTTGTTGTCCTATTTGAGCCTGAATTTTTTTTCTTCTGATTCAACCATAACCAAGGACCACCCTCCACATTAGGGGGCAAAGGTAATGGAAATTTACTCGCATGAGTGAAAACAATCAATTTATGTCGTTGTGAAATAAAGTGATAAATAATAAGGTACCTTGAGGTGAATCAAATACAATGCGTTCGAAGACCAAATCCAGTCAAAACACAAATAATGTTCCAAATACAAGAAATAAAGAGGATAAGAAGACACTTAAATCAATTGAAGTCTTAATCTCATCAAATAAAGAAGACAAGAAGTAGATGCAAAGAGTCCCTCAAGTCAAATGACGCATTGAGCTTCAAACCATAAGATTGATTGAGTATAACTCATTCAAGTATCTCGAATCAATTTACTAGAAGATCAAAGAGGAAATGAACTATATGGTTCCAAATCAACACTTAAACATTAAAAAGCTTGAAATTTCATCATAAATTTTCTTAGACTTTTCGAATTCAACCTCACAACTTGATAAACTTACAATTTGGTTCGAATCAACTTTCTAACTTAAAATTCCAGCATTTCAACTATAAAAAATCAGCATGAACCCTTCAAATATTACATTCTTGCAATAATTTCCCATATTTTTCAATACTTGTATATTAACCCTTTTACTAACTCAAGGCTCCAAATTGATCTCCAAATCACATATAACACTTCTAATGTCAATTCTAGATCATAGGAAAATTTTCAATATTTTCCCTAATTTTCCCTAATGGTTGAATCTCATTATGGTCTTAAGGCTAACTTTTCATTCAATTCCAAGCATGAATTCAACTTCCTTACTTCAAATTCATGCTATTCTAATCAACACAGCATCAAATTGAACCAAAATCAATCAATCGCCAATACCCTAATTAGGCCAAAACAACACAACACTTTAATTATCACACATGCCTTAGAATTAATCTCAAACATCAAAAACATAATAATATGTCATTAAATCTTCAAACTCTAAAAACCCTACATAAACCCTAACTTTCAACCTCAACACACAAGCATCTTCACTATGAAATATTTATACCAAATGATAGAGAATTTCATGTAGATTAATTTTCTATCTAATAGCTTAATAAAAAAATCAAGTATATAGCTTCAAAAATCAAAAATAAAATCTTACCTCTTCAAGCAATGAAGTTTCAGCCAAAAGAGTTTTGAATCTGAAAAATTGTTGTCTCTGGATTATTCTATTATTAATTCATAATACACATGACATTTAAACTAATTAAATTGAATTTAAAATTCAATTCTTGAGAAATTTCATTTTTACCATTAATGAACCTTAATAATTACCAATTTCATTGCATTATCTTCCATTAAAATATTTCATAGTCAAAGATGTACAAACTTGTCTTTGACTTTCTATTCAGCCATGAAATTTTCAAAAATTATATTTTAGTCACTAAAATTACACTTTTCAACCAAATCTGAAAAATTACGCTGATCTGAGTTAAATTTCTCTGACCTAAAATATGGAAATAATATCTCCAACCATTTTCTAACATCCTTCAAATTTCGTAAAATTCCGTTCGATCTGATTATTCGATTTCAATACCGAACTTTATCGCTTTTATAGTTTTTAACACAAATCTCGTACTGAAAATCTGATTCCAACGAAAATCCTTGTTTTAAACCAAAATGTTATTTAGTGGCTAAAATATATAACTTTTCAAAATTATATTTTTTATCTCTAAACTTTTACAAAATTTATACTTTAGCCTTAAAACTTTTAAAACTTACATTTTAATCACAAACCAAAATTTAGGGTATTACACTTCCTCCCCTTAAATAAAATTCGTCCTCGAATTTTTCATTCCTATTTACATGTACGATGTAAAAAGATAAAGAAATTACTTGTCATGTCTTTATCTCATTCTCATATCGCTTCCTCAACTTTAAGGGTCGGATCTAAATCTATCAACCTAATTCCCCGCCTCTACCAGCAGCTGTTGGCCATGTGGGTACTGCAGCCGAGGGCCTTTGGCTGCTCCGGCAGCATTACCCCCTTCCTCTTCCACCAGCCCTCCTCCGGGTTTAGTTTTGAGCAGGCAGTGCCCAATTCTCCACTTGATCAACCGGTTGAGGAGGCGGCTGAAGATCATCAAGGCGTTTTGATCTCCGAGCTCCACTTCGCAATTCTGGCATCCTCGCCACGTGCAATTCACATGCCACTCGGTTCCCCTCCAAAATCCTTATGACAAAAAGAAGTAACGGGTATCAAATTATAAACAATAAAGGCACAGTCAGAGAGTAAATTATCAAGTTAAGGAAACAAACAATTGCTGCTATATTAATCATCCACTAAGAAGCTGTCTCAAAGAAGATAAACCATAGACAATACCTTTAGCAAATAGTAAAATACCTTTCAACAAGAACTATATTTTTGCCAAACACGAAATATCTATTAAGCAAAAGCAGCTGAAAACATACCAAAATTAACGCAAGTTCATCGCATAATTGATCCCAAAAAAAACACACACACACACGCACCTCATAGATAGTCGAAATCAACTATTTCAGTATAAAACGAAATGATCATCGATAATTTACAATGGTAAAAAAAACAACCTTTGAGCAGAATAAATCTATCAAAAGGTCAATTATCCTCGAAAAAACTTGATTGATCAAGCTCAGATCGTTAACGATATGTTCAGATGATACATTTGTTGGGCTTGATTTTGAAAACCCAGAAACAAAAAACCAAGAATTTAAGAGAAATAAAAAGAAAGAAAAGAAACGCCTTGTTCTTTGTATTACCGGGGATGAAGATATACAGATAATCCAAAATTTAGGGTAACAAAAAGAAAAGAAACACTTTTTTTTTTCTCGAGATGGATTGAATTGAAATTTAAGAGAAGATAGAGAAACAGAAAGCTTATTAGGTGTAGTTTTGGGAGGATCTTTTATGCATCAAACAAAAAGGGAAAATAAAGCCTGAAATCATCTAAAAATTAAAAAGAAAATATTTTTTTTTTCATTTTTTAAAGGTAAATTTCTGTTTTTTAATAAATAAATAAAATAATACTAATACATTTATTATATATTTCCTAATTATTGTAGGGTGTAACTATTTTTTTATAACTGGAAGAAGAAATTAATTTGTAGCATATATTTTATTTTATGTGAATATGAAAAAATGATGAGACAGCAAATGTGGGAACAAAGTAACCAAACAAGCTCTGTTTTGAAAATCGGACCGGACCGGTCGGTTCAACCGGTTTAACCGAGAATCGTTGCTTAATCGGTTCAATCTAAACCGGTTGAACCGTATTAGTGAACCGACCAGAACCGCTGAATCGTTCGAACCGGACCGGTTGAAAACTGAAAAAACCGAGACTTTTGTTTTTTTTTAAAAAAAATTAAACCAAACAACGTCGTTTGTTAAACGAGCCAAGTCGAACTCGAGTATTGCTGAGCTCGACTTGAACTTGAAAACTTTAAAAGTAAGCTCAACTCAACTCAAACTCACAAGCTAAAAATTATCAAGTTCAACTCGAACTCGAAATATAATATTGAAACTTGAACTCAAAAAGTCTTGAACTCAAAAAAAATTTAGAAGCTCGATTGAAGCCTAAAATTCGAGCTTGATTGAAGTGAAAGAATAGTTCACTCAATGCTCACCAAAAGGCTCCATGATTTTGATGCCAAATTACCTCTATTATTTATAGAAGTTAGTTGTGATGCGCTTCTATGTTTCTTAGCAATGTGAGATTGTTTTGTTCTCATATTTTTTTCTCTTTAGACTTTTGGGATGATCTTCTATGTTTCTTAGTCATGTGGGATTGTTTTTAAAAAAATTAAACAAACAATATCATTTTGTTATGATTTTTTTAACCCAAAATTTATTTTTTAATTATAGTTATATAATTATATTTATTATTTAATATGTTTTACCTTAAATATTATGTTGTAGTTAATTTGAATCATTTTGTTTCACTTGATTTTATGGTTTTTAACTTATATATGTTATGATTTGCTTGAATATGACTTGTGATATAAAAAATTATTTTTTATTAAATATTTTTGATATTTTTATTTAATTTTTTGAATAATTATGACGTCGTTCGGTTCTTCCGACCGATTAAACCGATTCAATCGGTTGAACCAGTGAACCAATAACTTGACCAGTTCGCTAACCGGTCCGATTCTGAAAACTATGCCAAAAAGGGTTTTGTGTTTGTGGACTTACAAAGGGTAAAATCCTTTACATTATTATTATTATAATTATGGTTATTTATAACTTTTTTTTCTTTATTTATTTGTTTGTCAATTCTTATTTTTATAATATTATCCATTTTACATGCATAATACATGGACCATGAGATTTTGAATTATTTGTTTATGTTCATGAATTGGACTTGATTTATTTTATGATTTATTGTTTAAATAATAGTATGGTATTAAAAATATTTTTAAATTATTATTACTTTTTATAATTAAAAATATGTCATTTTATTTTGATTAAACTATTTCAATTCAAAATTTTATGTCCAATCAGTGGACTGGTCTAAATACAACAATAACACTAATAATTATTGGAATATGATTATGTGGATGAAAAAATATCATTTGAGAAAATATATTTATACGGAATACAAAATGTCCAAAATATTTGTAAAAATAATCTTACTATTTTTACTTGAAAAATGACTAATTAAATAAATTATTATTTTTTATAGTTAACAATTGGAGAAAAAATATTTGTGAATAAAACAAGTGCTGTAATAAAAAATAATTATTCGACGATTTTAAAATTTTGAAATTTTATATATTAAAAAGGACCAAAATTAATAATTTGAGTACGGAATCTGTAATTTACCCTAATATTACAACAATAATAAACTAAATCAAATTTAAGTTAAGCTCATCATGTCGATAAAAGTTAGAACTAAACTTATTTAATCCGTGATAAAAATCAAATTAAACTAATTAAAAACGAAAAATTAATTTAATTTTCATATTTAGCTTTGAGCTCATTATTCGAGTTTGAAAATTGAATTTCTTCCGTGATAATTTTAGTTTAAAAATACTCGATTAAATCACGAGTTACTCGAATTAAATACCTCATAATACTTTTATTTTGAATATTAAACCTGATTTTCGCGGAACTGGACGTGGCACATCCACACAAACACACACGATCTAATAAACTTCTACATTCATCCAAATTGGTGATCATTTTCCATTCTTCTCACTGAACAACTCGTTTCTCCGCCATGGCTACCGGCAGCAACCCTCTTCAGGATCGAGTAGCCATAGTCACCGGAGCTTCTAGCGGCATCGGTCGAGCAATCGCTCTCCATCTGGCCTCTATCGGGGCAAAACTAGTCCTCAACTATTCCTCTAACAAGCTCCAAGCAGATCTCGTCGCGTCGGATATCAACTCTTCTTTCCCCGACGATGACTACCCCCGAACCTTCACAGTTCAAGCTGATATCTTCCGATCCTGAACAGGTGAAATCCCTCTTCGACATGGCCGAACAACACTTCAATTCACAGCCTTATATATTGGTCAATTCAGCCGGTGTTAGTATTACGCAGAGAACCCCCGTAGCCATAACCTCCGTGGAAGATTTCAATAGAGTTTTGAGGTAATTAACTAATTATGGGAGACTACTTATATTTAATTATAGAAAAACTGCATTTATTTAAATTTTAGATTATAATTTATCCAGCGTAAATACGAGAGGTGCTTTTTTGTGCTCCAAGGAAGCAGCAAATCGGTTGAAACGCGGCGGCGGAGGGCGGATTATATTGATATCATCATCAGCCGTGGCTTCGCTGAGGCCGGGAAGCGCTACATATGTGGCATCGAAGCGGCTATAGATACAATGGTGAAGATATTGGCGAAGGAGCTCAAAGGAACTGGTATTACTGCCAACTGTGTATCGCCGGGACCGATTGCTACGGATATGTTCTTCGCGGGTAGGACTAAGGAAATGGTGCAGAAAGCAATCGACGAGTGCCCACTCCGTCGTCTCGGCCAAAGCGAAGATGTTGTGCCGCTTGTTGGATTCTTGGCCACCGATGCTAGTGAGTGGGTTAATGGTCAAGTCATTCGTGTTAATGGCGGCTATGTTTGATGATCTTTTAAGTTAATTGCATAGTAAATTATGTATTTTTTTTGGTAAAAGTAGATTATGATATTTGAGCTCAACGTTTTAATGTGTAGTTTTTCTTTCTTCTTAACTCAAAATAAAACTTATTGAGTGCTTTATAGGGATTTTTTTAAAATTTTTATGGCTCAAACGGGCATGACGGGTGATGTAGGGAACCCGGTTATTATATATATATATATATATATATATTAAGATTTTTTATTTTTATATTATTAAAATATATTATTTAATTATTAAAAAATATAAAAATATTATAAACTATATTAATTTAATGGTTTAAATATAATAAATAATTATTGTCCGCTATTTGTGAGTACTAAATATGGATGTGGAATTATGTGCAAGTATACACAATCGAACAAGTAATACAGTGATAAGTGAATATCGTCTCTACAGGGATTGGAGGAAATTGACAAATTCGATCAAAACACTTTACTTTGTCACCTAAGTAAAGTTAGTGATGGTATGTACAAAAGATAATGTTGTGACAAGATGAAATGGATGTTGTGGAAATGAGATGGTGGTAATATGGTAGCAAATTGATATGTCGTGGCAAAGTGGATGAAAATACTTTGGAAAATTAAATTGTATTGAGTGCAAACAAATGGAAATGTAAAGGCAAAATAAAATGTAAATATAGGATTTGATTTATAGGACTTTAACTTCCTCACAAGACAAGCTACTACGGGAATGAGTGATATGAGTCACTAAGGAAAATTTAAGTCCACTTCTCAGAATGGTTTTACTTCTATGCCTTATCTGTCCGACAGAGTCTACTAGGGTGCCCTATGCTATCTCTAATAAGGGGCTCGACAAAGTGAAGATGCCTTGGCAAAATCGGTTGGCATAAACCCCTGCAGTGATCCTATTGGTCCAGATAACATGATATGTCTCAGCAATACCTTTTTGCGGTAGCATTAACATCTAACCTATCGCTCATGCACAACTCCTTTTATTCGAATGAAATCCTAGCCTTATCTCTAAGGTGGATTAGGTCTAGTTACTATCTAGAACCCATTGCTTATGTGGTTCCTCCCTAGTTTCTCTCGAACACTAAGGATGTACTACCTAGACATTCTCTCGAACACTAAGTAATCTCTTAAGGAATGGCTACTCTCATAGCTTCTACAATCTTAAGGCACTAAGATCCATAAACAAACCAGATAATAACATAAAAAAACAACCATTCATTAAAGCAAAACCTAAATATCCAAAATAAACTCCCACCAAATAGGATTAGTTCATTGTGGGTTCGAAATAAGCTAGCAGAAAGTAAGTTAATCCGTTCTTTACAACCTAAATGATAAAATATGAAAGAAAAGAGCAAAGGGAATGACGAAAAGCCTTCGACGTGCACTGCCGGAGCTTCCCTCGGCCGCCACCTACTGTCCCAGTGAACTAGCCCCTCTCGGACACCTAGAACACCACTCCCTCTAGCTTGTCAATGGAGGAATCCCGCGGCAAATAGGATTGGTGGAGAA